GACTATATCCTCCATGCTGTGCTAACATCTCTGTGACCAACTTACCATTGAGAATTTTTGTGCCCCTTTATCCTCCTCACACTCCCCACCACCCACCTCAACTCCTCCCCCATGTAACCACCAGTCACTTCTCAGTGTCTCTGAGTCTACTGTTGTTTTGTTTATTCTGTTTTGCTTTGTTTTTGTATTCCACAAATAAGTGAAATCATATAATAGTCTTTCTCTGACTAGCTTATTCCACTGAGCATAATACCCTTTAGATCCATCTATGTTATTGCAAATAGTAGATTTTCTTTCTCTTTTATGACGGAATATTATTCCATTGTGTATATTCGTCACATCTTCTTTATCTGTTCATTTATGGATGGACAGTTAGGCTGTTTCCTTATCTTGGCTATTGTAAATAAATTGATAAACATAGGGATGCATATATTTTTTGAAATCAGGGATCTTGTTTTCTGTGGGTAAATTCTTAGAAGTGAAATTACTGCATTGAATGGTATTTCTATATTTAGTGTTTTCAGGAATCTCCATACTCCTTTCCATAGCAGTTGCACCAATTTACATTCCCACTAACAGTGTAGGGGGTTTCCATTTCTCCACATCCTCACCAACACTTTGAATAGTGGCCATTCTGACCGGTGTTAGTTAATATCTTATTGTGATTTTGATTTGCATTTCCCTGATGATTAGTAATGTGGAGAATCTTTTCATGTGCTTGTTGGCCATCTGTATTTCTTCTTTGGAGAAGTGTCTGTCCAGGTCCTTTGCCCATTTTTTAATCAGGTTATTAGTTTTTTTTGGTGTTGAGTCATGGAAGTTCTTTATATATTTTGGATGTTAACCCCTTATTGGATGAATCATTTGCAAATATATTCTCCCATATTGTAGTTTGCCTTTTTGTTCTGCTGATGGTGTCCTTTGCTGTACAGAAGCTTTTTAGTTTGATGTAGTCCCATTTGTTCATTTTTTATTTTGTTTCCCTTGCCTGAGGAGATGTGTCCAGGAAAAAAATTGCTCATTATGTTGAAGAGATTTTTGCCTATATTGTCTTCTAAGAGTTTCATGGTTTCATGACTTACATTCAGTTCTTTAATCCATTTTAAGTTTACTTTTGTGTATGGATTTAGACAACAATCCAGTTTCATTCTCTTACATGTAGCTATCCAGTTTTCCCAACACCAGTTGTTAAAGAGACTGTCATTCCCCATTCATGGCTCCTTTATCGTATATTAATTGACCATATATGCTTGAGTTTATATCTGGGCTCTCTATTCTGTTCTATTATCTATGGGTCTGTTCTTGTGCCAGTAACATACTGTTTTGATTACCATAGCTTTTCAGTATAGCTTGAAGTCACAGAGCATAACAACCCCAGCTTTGTTCTTTCTCAGGATTGCTTTAGCTATTCAGGATCTTTTGTGGTTTCATATGAATTTCAGAACTATTTGTTCTAGTTGATGGAAAAATGCCATTGGTATTTTGATAGAGATTCATTTGAATCTGTAAATTGCTTTAAGCATGATGACAATTTTGACAATATAAATTCTTCCTATCCATGAGCACAGGATAGATTTCCATTTATTGGTGTCTTCTTTACTTTCTTCATGAGTGTCTTATAGTTTTCAGAGTACAGGTCTTTCACCTCCTTGATTGGGTTTATTCCTAGGTATTATATTCTTTTTGATGCAATTGTAAATGGAATTGTTTTCCTAATTTCTCTTTATGCTACTTCATTGTGAGTATACAGGAATGCAAAAGATTTCTGTGTATTGATTTTGTATCCTGCAACTTTGCTGAATCCAGTTATTAATTCTAATAGTTTTTTGATGGAATCTTCAGGGTTTCCTATATATAATATCATGTCATCTGCTAACAGTGACATAAACTTACATGTTTTTAAGTCACTAAGTTTGTGGTAATCTATCACAGAAGCAGTAGAAAACTAATACAGATTAACTGTCATACCATGTGGCTTAATATTATTTAATACCATGCCCAAATATCAGCTAAAATCTTCCATCGCCCTAGTGTTGTGTACTCTACACTTGGGGAAACACTGCTTAATGAACTCCACTAGGTCATAAGAGAAAACGGTAGCCATAGATTAAAGCACCTGCAGATGAATTTAGGCTCTGAGGCACTGAAGCTGGTTGGTAAAATGATGACTAATTATAGGGAAGGCTCTGTGTGACCAGTGTCTTCCTTCCTCCCCTACTCCAGCCTTCATTTATGCTGTAGCATCTGAGCTGAGGAGACAGCATTCCTGAATCAGCACTCTTTCAGCAAATGGGCCCTGCATTGAGGTAGGTCATAGCTCTGGTTCTTTCTGCTCCCAAATATCACTGCCTTTCTCTTAGATTAAAATAGGCTTGGGAATATTTTCTTAAGTTAAAATATATATATATTTATTTTGCTTTTGTCCAGTTGAAAAAGTAAAGTCTTTTTATTATGGGCAGCTTATACTTTAGTGCTTTATTTTGATTGGGTACATGATAAGATAAAATTTGCCCAAAAAAACTAGTTGAAGTCATATTATTTTAAATAATTAAGAAGTTTTAAACAACTCAATTCTCTTCAATTATACAAAATTGCAGAGGAAGTTTTACTCTAAGGTTCTAGCAAAAATTAATATGTGGTCACTGATGTGAAATTTTATATAGAGCATACACATTTGAGATTACATCTGAAATAAGGTTATTTAAATAGATAAAATTATATTTGAAAACAAAATTTAATTCTTACATTAGCAAACTCCTTGCAGGTCTTTTATAAAAACCACACTTACGCAAAACACTGTTTGAAAACTTTCAATCTGGTTCCATCTAAATTTTATAGACTCCAATGCCTAGATAAAGGAAGTGGATTTTCTATGATCATACAACTTGCTACAAAGGGACCCCAGACCTTGACTCCCACCCAGTGCTCCTTTCACTTCACTGGAATGCCTCATTAATCAAGTTCTTTTTCATTATCAGAACTTTAGACCTTATGACAAAACAAAGACATTTCTCATAATTAGGGAAAGAAGATGTTTGGGGGCAAAAAAGCTGGTTTAAGAACTCCTAAATTACTTATCTACCTTCTTGGACATACAGTCCTACATCTGATCACTATTGGGTTTAGATGTATAAATTTACTCACAAGTCTTAGGTAGTTTTAAATTCAACATTTACGCTGTTACACCTGCTGATTTATAACAGACATGAAAGTCATAAGACCATCTTTTTCCCTAATGCTATTCTCAAATTGCCATCAGCATGCAGCCACTAGCCCAGACCCATGTCCATATGAACTCTGGCTCCAGATACTGTGAACTCCGGAACTGGGCTTCAGAAAGTAATCACAGGCCAACACAGTCCAGGGCTATTTGGGACAAAGGTAACTTTGATACCCTGATTTTTCTTTGTGGGTAATGTGCACATGAAGAAATGTGTAAATGAAGAAATAGCCTCTTTGGTCCACTGTCACATTTTCAGCCAGATTTCATACCATCTGGATGACAGACCGACTGCATGTAGATGTCACCAAGTCTTAGAGTTAACAGGGGCCCCAGAAAGGCTCTTGCTTTTCTTTCACCAAAAGCACTCCACCAGAAAGGAACTATGTTTGGCTAGCTGTCTGATTTTATTTATTTTTTGACCAATTATTCCATCACAAATATCTTCCTTCATGATTTGCAAACATAAATTCAATTTTTGTCAATTCATTTCAAATTTTCTTTCCTTTTTGACACATTCTCTTGGAAACCATTTTGATGATAAATATAATGAATTTATTAAAAGCCAAAAAGTTGGGAAGACCAGAATCTTAAGTCTTCAGAATAACCATTTGTTGTGTATTTTTTTCCCCCTAACTGCTATGTGTACTTAAGAACATTATTTTGTTATCATGGAAGCAATTTTGGAAGTCCAAGCCCTTCACTGCTGTCCTCATACCTCTTCTGTCTATGGGACCCAGTGATCCTGGATGCTAAACACCTTCACAAACCAAGGACTGTTTATCAGAGTATTTGGAAAATAGCTCCATGGGTGGCTTTACGTGACTCACAGCATTTTCCACTTGGCATCATGCAGACCAAGTCCATGTGACCTTTTCTCTACGCTTTGCCATGGTTGTTTGTTAAATTCATCCCAGGCTTATAATTAACGTTTAAATCCACTTTGAGATGAAAGAAAACTGAGACAACATAAACTATCATTAGCAGTCATAGACATGAGTAGCCTACATGTCTGTTTCTTCAACCCCTGAGGTTCCCTCCGTATACATTTTAAAGCCTCAAAGAGGTTGTGGTTGTTATAAATCATCATTTTACATTTGTGATACTGGGATACAGGGAAGCCTTTAACTCAAAAGACCCAGTCTCGTTTCACTATCTAGGATTAAATTCCTCTCTGGGATGGAAGCCACGCTGGAAAAATTTGCCCCACCGGGATGCAAGCTTCTTTCCTGGGGGCAGGGTGTCTGTGAGTGCTGCACAAACATCCTCAAACCCAGCTCATCCTCAGAATCATTTGGTTCACTAGAGAAAAAAACAGATTCCTGGGCCCCAAACCTGGAGGCTACTTCAGCTGATGTAGGCAGGGAACTGACATGAGCATCGCCGATCAGATGATTCTCAGTCTGATTTTCTGGCACACAAGAAGTCAAGTCAGGTTTGAAACTTCAGCCCCACCTGGTCTGGATTAAAGCCAGTGCTTTGAAAAGAACACACAATTAGTATATGCATTTGTTGTCCAGAGGATCAATGTGTTCCTCAGTTGGTGAATATAAACTATTTCAGTTGTGAGAAAAGGGTTAATATTTGGCTAATATTTCTCATAGAACTGACAGTGTGAAAGTTCATATTTTTTTCTCCCCTGGAAAACAGCAACTAACTCATTATGAAAAACTCATTTGTAAAACAACCTTTGGGAGATTTATCAACAGATACAAAAAAGCGGTAATTTTAAATGCTGATTTAAGAAAAACATGTTCATATACCTTTCTAAGCAGAATATTTTTTCAGACCTGTATTCATATACTGTGATGATTCTAGACCAAGATTTCGTAACCTCAGGTTATTAACAATTTAGGTCTGGAGGTTCTTTGTAGTGGAGGCTATCCTGTGCGGGGGGATGTGCAGCAGAATCTCCGACCTCAACCACTAGATGCCAGCAGCTTCCCCTAGCAGTGCCATCCAAAAATGTCTCTGGACATTGCCAGAATTTCCTGGGAGACAAAATTCTTCCAGTTGAGAAGCACTGCTTTAGGAAAACCATGTGAGCTCTCTGGGGTTTTAGGAATTTATAATACAGGATGAAAGAGCAAAGGTGACGTTCATAGCAGTGGAATCAGAAAAGGCTAGATGATAAATAATTCAATAAAGGTAAATAACTACTTAGGGAAAAGTAATCAAGATTCAATGCCTACCCATACTGAAAAATAAATTTCAAAAGATCTAGAGTTCTAAATGAAAAATATAGAAAAAATACATATGATATATTTTTATAGCCTTGGGGTAAAGAAAATTTGCCTAAAAACTCCCAGAAAACCCAGAAGCCCCAAATGAAAACCTCAATAGACTTTACTCCATAATATTTTAACACTGCTGTATGATGAAATAAATAGAGAAAGGCACCATAATCAGCATTTTAAAAAAGGTAAAGAAAGAAAATATTTGCAATATGGATAACAAATGGAAGATCAATACCCATCAAAAGTAAAAAACCCAACAAGTCATTTAAAAAAAAATAGAAAACAAGTTAGTAATGTGAAAGGGAAATTGATAAAGGAGAATCAAGTAGCCATAACACATAAAAACTTCTCAATTTTATTATAACTCAGGAAAATGCAAACAAAAATTACAATGAAATATCATTTTAATCCCACCATACTGGCAAAATTAAAAAGATCCATGAAATGCACAACTAATGAAGGAAGATGTGGAGAAATAATCATGCTCGTGCCTGTATAATGAGAGCTGACATTGGTTCAATCTTTTACAATTACAGGGGACAAATCAGTAGTAGCTGTGCAAATGTAAACTGCACAATCTTGGATTCAGTATTCCACAACAATCAGTCTATCCTATAAAAAGCCTCATCTATTCAAATAATATATATCTATGTGTGTATTCATGTATATGTGTGTATGTACATATGAGGGTAGTTGCTATGGTACTGTTTGTAATAACATTGCAGACAGATAATAACAGATGTAATAGACATTGCACACAGGCTAAAGTTAGCCATAAACAAGGAATGATTGGTGCATCATCATATCTTGATACCTACAATGTGGTTTTTTGCAATAATTAAATAGGATGAAATAAGTTTAAAATATTGAAACAGGAAGGCCTGTTATATGACAGAAAGTTTCAAAGCTATATATATATGTATATATAAATGTGTGTAAATATATACATATATTTTATATAAATAAATATATTTGTTCATATCAATGTTTATGCTTGTGTATATATAATTATATGTATATATGTACATATAAAAAGTCTCTTGAAGGATACACATCAAACTATTAATGGGCATTAATTCCAGGAAGAAAAATAGGATGTACATCTCATTCTATGTGTTTGAAGGTTTCCCACAAATATATAATCTGCATATTATATAATTTTAAATAAGAGCAAGGAAGTTGACTGAATGATTTCCGAATGCTATCATTTCAGCTCTAACAAACTGTGATCTAATTAATCCTAATTTAGAAATAAATCAGAAAACTTGAGCTACCGATCTTGGGTCTATATCACAGGAAAATTCAAGGGAAAGAAATTACTATTCTTTAAGCTCGCAGTATGAGCTTATTCCATTTGTATACATTTTACCATTTATCCTGACAGCATCTTAGTTTTACTGAGCAAATAAGAGGTTAAATAGTTCAATAAAGATCACAGGGCCAGGAGGGAACAGGGTCAGGATTCAGACTTGGACCAGTCTGCTGGGATATGATCACTGCTGCTCTCTACAGCAGATGATTCATAGTTTTACTAGTTGATGGAGAAACTCTGGTTTATCTTATAAACATCAAGTCAGAAAGCTGGAGGCATGGAAGAGCACCTGCCCAGCAGCATAACCATCATGATTGCCATGCAGTAGAATTGCAGAGATGTGGTGGTGCTCACCCTGCACCAGGCAGTGATGCATATCTCACATAATCCTCACACTGAGTGAGAGGAAGCTTTTATTACTGTTCACATCTTGCAGGTAAAGACACTGAGTCTCAGCAAATATAAGAAAATTGCTGAATGTCACATGAATAACATGGATGGAGCTGTCTGTCTGACTCTATAGGCTATCTTCTTATT